GAGCATAAAAAATACCCTTTGAATATCTGCACCTGTTATAATAAACTATGACTATGACCTCTGTCTGCATGAATGAATGGGTTGCAAGCAGAGTAATTTGAGATAGGGCTCAGAAAGGCTGAGTCCTGAAATACAGCGCTCAGTACAAGTGCCAGGACTCAGAACACGTGAGTTCATAATTAGCACCTCTGGGAATGTGCAAAGTATCTTTTCCTCACTATGGAGCAAGTAAGCACACCAGTTTTTACCCATCTTATAAGGAGGACACAACTTCTAGGGAGGTTTGACTCCAGGTACCACTGAATTCAGCACAGGTGGTGGTATTGTACATGGGAGGAGAAAGAAGGGACGTTTTGACACCTTGATTCTGAGATATTTTTCTGCATCATAAACTCTTCTCTGGTGCACAGTAGAGCTTTGTGTGCAGTAAATGTAGTTCAGTTCTTAAAGCAGAATTCTTACAATAGATAACAGCAGGTTTATGGTTTAGCTAGATCTTTAGTATTTTTTCAGTCCCTTTTGCTGCTGATCCATCCCAGTGAGTGAATTCACTGCCAATGACTGGTATGAAGGGACAAGACGGAATGGCAGGAGGTGAGGCCATGCACCCAGCCCTTTTGCCTGACCTGTTTTCAATTCAGTCCATCACTTTTAGATGCTTTTTTGTAGATCTCTTAGATGCCCTTTACAAATACAGTTGCAAAAAAACCTCACACTTCTACAATGAAGATTAAGAGTAAAGCTTCTAACGACATTGTATCTCAGTTTCTGTTGTTTTCTTCGAAACTCTAGTTAACTAGAATGAAAATCATTACGGCGAAGACTAATTTCTTTTTCTGGGCATTTTTCTTAAAAAGCACTGTGTGATTATATCCGTTGGCTATTTGATGGTTTGTTAAGGTTACTTGAAATTGATTCGCTGAGCCTACCATTTTGCACTATGCTGTACATTTGTAAAGTTTTACAATGTATGCTAATTAAAGGGGTTTTCTTTTGTCCTCATTTAGTTGTTTTGGCTTTTATTTTCTTTTGCGTAATCAGCATGTGTATCTGGTGCTCTGTGTCAGAATGAAAGGCAGGCTGTCTCTCTGCCTACCCACATCATACTGTGACCTTGCCCTTCTGCAAGGGCTCAGGGGGGTGGATCCAGGCCTATCCCATTTTAACCTTGTAAGAATATTTAGGCTGTGCTACTGGGGTCACCAATAATGAACTGGGTTGGGGAAGGTTAATGTGACGGCTCATGGACATAGAATGATAGAGAAGCCCGTGCAGTTACCTTACAGGTCTCCTCCAAAAGAGCTTGAGAGCTAAAAATGGCTCTGGTTGTGGCCTTCCTTGTGGAGTGTGTCGTTCTTCTGGAAGAAAAAGTAGGCAATGGACTTCATGCACAAGGGAGGGTCATGCTTGGACCAACCTCACCAGTATGGATGTAGAGATTCTATTGCTCAAGGATGCTGGATGAAATGAACCAAACAAGCTGCCTCTTTGTCTCTGGTTGCGGGCAGCAGTAGGGCAGGATCTGCTCCTGCAATCTGTGGAAAACAGTGTAACCCTTAGGTACAAATGATGGATCGATTCTGAGCACTACCCTATTGTTGAAGATAGTACAAGGACCTTCAGTCACTGAAAGAGCATTCTGTTCAGACATCCAATTGGTGGAAGGGATGGTGACTAAGAAGTCTATGTTGATGGATGAGGTGTTGAACAGAGTATGGATGAAATGGTTGCTTGCTTGGACAGAACCTTTCTCGTCTACCTTAGGACTTGAGAGATGCTGGAGTCCTATGAGAGGAATCTATGCATTAAGGACAAGTCCCAGGGTTCCAGGACTATGTGTTAACTTGAGACATACCGCTCTTGTGCAGTGGGGCTGCTAATGTCTGGAGCAAATACGTCTTAACAGGCCACTCCCAATGGACAGAGGTAAGTGGGCAGTGAGATAAAGCCATGCTAGGTACGCATAAAATTTAGAAGCCTGGGAAAATTTTAGCAGGCCTGAAGGATTAGCCAGAAACACTCTGATCAGAAAGTATAGGACAGACAAGAGGTAGAAGGTTAGAAAGAGTTCAGCCGTGGAGGCGACAGGAGCAGAATTGGAAGGTCCATCCAGCCACTGGCAGGGATACAGATGCAGCTCACTAGCATGGTCCTGCCTGTGGGAGCAAAGGGCACAAGTAACCCAGCCTGGATTCCCTCCCCCACTGACTGAGAAAAGGAGTGCCTTAAAGGACTCTCATCACTTTGTGTAAGATGCCATTGTTCACTTTTACTCATGTCTATAAAACCGGGGTGTGCAGATTAGAACAGTACTGTAAAGGTTTCTGTTTATTAAGCATCTTCCCAATTCTAATTTACAGAAAAACACAGTCAGATACTCTCATGGGGAATGGCCATATTGGTAGAAAAGGCAGACACATGAGAAATATCAGTTTACATTGCACAAAAGTTGTCCTTTGTAACACTGCGTTTGCAAGGTTGAAGGACAGCCCTCTTGTTGGTCAGAGATAAGGTTTGTAGCCCAATCAGGACTAGAACTCCCACATTTAAGACAGAGGTGGAACCACTTGGAAGTAGTCACCAACTGGCTTCCAAGCTAGGAACAAATTCAGCCTCATAACAGGTAGCAAAAGGTGGGGGAAGCTTTTCGCTGGAACCCTCTCTCTGCCTTAGCCAGTACTACGAAGAGTTTTTATGTCTGGAAATTTCAGTTGGTTCAAACGACTGTGGCAGGGTAGAGCAGAACTAACTGCATTGCATTAAAAATCAAAAAACTGCACAGGTTGCCAGTTTGTTTCCGGACACAGTTCAAAACACTGGCTCTGACAGCACTAAATGCTCCAAGTGTACAGCAGCAGCAGACCTGCCTGCTCCCATATAAACCCAGGCATTTGCTAAGATATTGTGCGGAAGGCACATGCTGGGTGCCCCAGCTGTCAGCAGAAAGGTGATGGCAACCTGGTGGTAGTGCCCCGGTGGTGAAGGGAAGGCATCCAGATCAATTTGCCAGGTGCTGGTGCTCGTAGCATTTAGATACTGGCATGAAATGTGGCCTCTCTCTGAGGCATTTAGCTAGTGTCTGATTAATTTTGCTGTTCTTGTGGTTATTCTTGTTTAGCTGGACATGTTGTGTGCAAATGCATGCA